TGTCATTGGTACCGTACTAGAACAGAAACAAATACGAATATCTAAGATTATGTTGTTCTCATACTATGTGCCTTAACATTTTATGAAAGAAACACAGTTTGACCTGTTTTAAGAAAAATATACCAGTAGGTATGTGGAATGGATAGCCTTATCTGCAAAATCTATGTTCACCACTATAGCTGAGCTACCAAAACGACAGTTGAATGAGCTACCTTTTTGGTGCTACCCATACAAAATTCTGCGGACCGGCACCGTGCGGGCAGCCGGCAGGGGAGGGAGTGAGAGAGGACCCTGGAGCGCTTACCTGCAGCTCCTCCGGGTCCTCCTCTCGCGAGCACGGAGCATTGCCTCGGTTACCACGGCAACGCTCCAAATCTCGCAAGAGTGAACTCTAGCCCTGGAGCGCGGGCTAGAGTTCACTCCTACCACTGGGACCACCAGGGATTTCCCACCGGACCACCGGGAATCAAGAAATGTCCCCCCTCCTCCTCAATAAAGGTAAGAAGGGAGGGGGGATATAATTAATATTTATTTTATTAAATAAAATAAAAAAAATTAAAAGCCTCCCTACCCTCCTTCCCCCCATACACACAGTGCCCCACAAACACTGCCCCCCATACACACACTACACACACTGCCCCCCCATACACACACTGCCCCACAAACACAGCCCCCCATACACACACTTCACACACTGCCCCCATACACACTGCCCCATAAACACTGCCCCCAAACACACACTGCCCCACAAACACTGCCCCCATACACACACTACACACACTGCCCCCATACACACACTGCACCACAAACACTGCCCCACAAACACTGCCCCACAAACCCACTGGACACCCATACACACACTACACACACTGCCCCACAAACACTGCCCCCCCATACACACTGGACACCCATACACACACTACACACACTGCCCCACAAACACTGCCCCCCATACACACACTACACACACTGCCCCAAACACACACACTACACACACTGCCCCCATAAACACTTTCCCCATACACACACTGCACCCCCATAAACACACTACACACACTGCCCCACAAACACTGCCCCCCATACACACACTGCAACTCACACACTGCCCCACACATACACTGCCCCCTAACACACACTGCAACCCTGACATACACTGCCACCCTCACGCACTTGCACACACACACACACTGCACTCCTAACACATACCACTGCTCCTATGCCCTATATCCCAGCAGACCCCAGGTAAGTTGTCAAACTGTTCTTAAACGGTTTGACTACTTACTCTGGGATGGGATCCTGGCACTACGGGCGCCATAACTACTACACTAAACTGTAGTGGTTATTGTGCCTGGATTATTTCTTTAAATAATCTACAAGTGCCCCTCCCGAGATCAGGCTCTGGATCTGCCACTGCACCACGCTGCAGTTGTTTTGGTGCCAATATGCCATTCCCCTCATCCACTACCAACAATGAAGTGCTGCTAGCTATAAAGCATTTCCGTTAGCTCTCTGCAATGCAGGGCTAGTTCATTGACTGAGAGAGCATCGTCTGATCCCTTAGATAGAGAGCTTCCAGCTCGAACTTGAATAAAAACATGTGTCCAGTCATATCCTTCTGCACAGAATTGTTGACATAAATATTACAGACTACATTTGTCTGTGATAAGGATTTTGTGTGTTTGTGGTTTGAGAATCTCCTTTTACAGCATACCACAGACAGGCAGACAGGATTTTATACGGGCAAAAAGGAAAATAACCCACAAACAGCCAGTTTGTGTACTCAGAACATTCCTTTTATAATATGTGCACAGGGTACCGAGCCACATATTTATTGGTCTACATTGTCTGCTAAGTGCTAAACCGATTGATAAATGTCAACTTTCATGACCATCAGCTATAATCATGGTGGAGGACCAAAGGACCTCACTGTGGGGTTCTCAATGGCTACACTCTTTCTAATGTTTCATCCCCCGCATCCTGCTCCATCCTGTCCTTATTTATGTGGAAACTGCTTTTGCATCATCCAACAATAACCATTCCAGTGAGGTACTTACACCTGTGCCATCTAAGAATGTTGAATTGAAACGTGACTAGTAGGTCGGTACCCGATAGTTCTTTTCTTTCTGCTACTTTTTACATTTATCACATGTTAAGGGTTCTTTTTCCAATGTCCAAGGGTTTTTTTTACAATACAATTACACAGCATCACAATACAAAACAAATGTGCCGTTAAAGGTGTGGGTACACGTGTTTTGATACAGTTCAATACACAATGAACAAATAAAGAATACTTATTTACAGCAAGTTATAAAACTTTAACAGTGAATACCTGCATGCATTTTAACATGGGATGCCTTTGATGTCACAACTTCTAGCTTTGACTCCATTCTTTTTACCATCTTGGAGATATTCACTAAATCTAGCTAGTCACATGAGTATTTCTTATGGTGCCTTTTTTGCTTTCCTGGGTTTCTTAGGTTAGTATAGGTACTTTTATGAGCTTGGGCCTTATATATTACTGACAACTACCGTCTTTCCCCGAATTTAAGACCAGTCTTTTATTAATTTCCCCCCCGGAAAACGCACTAGGGCTTATTTTCGAAAGATGTCTTATTTTGGGGAAAAACGGTAGCAAGCATGTGCTAGAAAGCAGGTCTATGTTCGTGTAAAATTCCCCCATAAACCAGTTCACTAGCGCATGGAATCCTGCGAATCTATATTCGGGGAAACTTCTCGAACATAAATTAGGTTACTAGCGCATGGAATCCCACAAATCTATGTTCGGGGAAAATTCCTAGCAACAAGGGCTCATTTTCAGGGTAGGGCTTATATTACGAGCATCCTCCTTATTTTCGGTGGATGTCTTATTTTTTGGGGGGAAAAAATTTAGACCCATCTTCTCTTTCTTCTGCACCAAGAAGAGCTTAAAATGTGTCAGCAGATCATAGTTGCATAAATGATCATTGAAAACACTAATGCTGTGGTTGGTGGAATAAAATATAACCATAATTACTAAAGGAATAGTTAAGGTTTATCTGGTTGACCTTTGGATCAATGGCGATTTTGCGACACAAAAAAGTCTGCATTTTACAAGAAATTTAGGAAGGGCCTCATTTCACACCTAACTAGCCTTTATTATCATTTCCTACAGGGGGGCACTCCGGACTTCGATATGGCCCTAGCTAATGTCATCCTACTCCAAAAAAACATATAGGGGAGTTGACGGGGGCGTGGCCTGGGCTCCGACGAACATGGCCGCCTAAGCGCTGTACTCCGTTCCACGAAAGCACACAGAACGAAGCAACCCACTACTCACCTGCACGCACTGCCACCAATGGGTCGCATAAAGAGAGGGGACCTACCCCAGACCCCCAAACCTTCCGTCTCAGGGTCGCAAACGGGGCCGATGGATGAATACCTCCATGCGCCATGCGGCCCGGACCCCAGCTCCCCGACATCCAAAATGGCGCCGACCTCGCCAGCATCCACACGCTCCACTGCCGACACCACTACACTGGCAGATATCGGAGCAGAATTAAAACGCATGGCAATGAGGATGGTCACAAAAGTTGACCTCACCCACCTGACTAACAACCTACACAAAGTAATTAAATCTGAAGTGACCAGCCTGAAGGCTGAAATCAAAGCGCAGGAACACCGCATACAGCAGGTAGAAAAAAGGGCACAGACCACTGAGGACCACTCTGCAGCCACAGACACGGCCCTCAAACGCCAAGGCACTCTCATACTGGCCATGAGGCGACAGCTAGAGGACCAGGACAACCGCAGTCGTCGCAACAATATCAGGATAAGGGGGATACCTGAATCTCCAGAAGGGGAAAACATAGAGGAGATGCTCACCTCCCTATTCCGCATCATCCTAAGGGAGGACACACCAGCGCTTATTAAATATGACAGGGCCCATAGAGCACTCCGTCCCCGGCCCACGGAAGGGACCCCCAGGGATGTAATATGCTGCCTGCACTCCTTCGCCATCAAAGATCTGATCATGAGGAAAGCTAGGTCCAGGGCCCACTGGAACTACAGGGGCGCAGAAATATCCCTTTACAATGACCTATCACCTATGACCCTGGAGGCTAGAAGAGCCCTGAGACCGGTTACCACCATCCTGAGGGAGAGGAATATGCAATATAGATGGGGATACCCATTTAGCATCACAGTTCGCTATAATAACGAATGGGTATCCGCACGATGGCCAGAAGACATTCCTCAATTCCTACAACGCCTGAACCTGCCGCCAACCCCCGTTCCGAACTGGGTATTCATGCCGCTGGATCCAAGACCACAACCGCAGCGACAAGCAAGGCGAAGAAGATGGAACTCTTCGGGTGAAGCTCCGCGACACCGACCAGATCTAAACCACCCAGAGGAATAACCCACTACCTGACCAACCGGCACCGCTCCCGTAGACCCCACAATTCCGAAACAACACAGACAGCTGGAACCCACGTTGGAGAAGCACCTGGAGGCAAACCCGCACCCCAAGAATCAGGTACTCTGACATTGGGTAGTTAACACATTGGCACGAGACTAACAGAGGGGACACCCCCCCCCCACCCCCCTGGTGCGGGAAGGTACCACTCTTCACCTTGATACTGACCGAACTAAGGGATATCTCACTTGCAAATGGGTCCTCCACAACACGAAAGGGTTCTAAACAACAAAAAAAAACAAAAAAACAAGGGGACGAAAAGGGAGGGGCGGGAAGAAAAATAAAGCAGGGGAGTAAGTCCTATTGGGGAGGGGGATTACAGGGGGGAGGGTTTGGGACATAGAGATCGGGTCCTAGAGACCTCCTGCAGCATTGACTTTCGTGAAGACGAAGAACTGATTCCATGCTAAATGTATAGCTGATTGTGAGGCCCGAGACTGCTCCTTATTGTATGACTATTGTGAATAACCTATTTTGAAAGGCTAGACTATGCAATCTCACTCTGTGTTACCTACCGGGCCCTCCCCCTCACGTCAAAAGAACTGACATGTATAGACAACATGCACCCAAAGAGATCCATACACTACATACAATCACAAGTGCTTCACTCAGACGACATACTGATGACGGGAAGACACTGGGCAGACGACCATCCCACCACCCCCTAGAAGCTGTGAAATATGAACAAAAGGGGCGGGAGACGGGGCAAGGGGACATAGAGGGGGGAGAGGGGAAAGAGGAAAAATAAAAAATAAAATAAAAAATAATAATAATAAAAAAAAAAATACATCAACATGATCCAGATGCAATGACCCAGACATAATGAGAAGAGGACCCACACTGCACACACCCCGAAGAGATATCCTCAAGCCCCTACTTTGACTACACGCAAACTACCCTCACGGTACATCCCCCCACCCGACACCAGCGACACCGAAAAGGCGCAACAAACAGGCATAGTGCTGATAACATTACAGGCACACACCAATGGCATTAGTGATGACTATATAACAACTCTACTACAGTGGACGGACGCTACAACCCCAAACGGAAATACACTTCTACACAACTAACAGTTCATACCGACGATACACAACCCTTCTCAAGTATCAACTCTACGACTAACACCGCATATACCACACAGGCACCATAGCCTAAACGGATAAGGGCCCAGACACGCTACCCACCCCTCTCGGTGCGCACGCTTGATACTACGGAGGCCGACGGGTACACCACCGGGATAGATCTCGGGGTGACCTCCGACCAACACCGTAGGCACACGAACTCCCTCTCCACGGAGAGGTTCACCTCCTCACATTACCACGACACGCACACCACGCCTATCCTACTCTCCAACATCCAAATAAGAAACACACACCCCCATCACACGAACCAGGCACGGAGCCTAACATAACCGAAAGGCACCGAGCCTAAGCAGACACAACTCCCCTAGACCACACAGGAGCAAATACCAACACCCCCCGAACGCCAGCCACCTCACACGTGACCGCAGTCCAGCAACCCACCTGAACGTCCCACCCCCCCCTGCGCTCCTGACCCGGCCGTCGCGTCCGCCTCGACCCAACCACCAGAGGGCGCAGAGGCGCAGAACCACATCAAAACCCAGGAATTAAGCCACGGGATCGGGCTTCCTCGGTCGACTCCCGTGTCCATAAGAGAGCGGGACATGGACGAGGGACCCCGGTACCCGACAAGACACCACCATTGCGCAGAGATGCGGACAAGATGGCATACAGACCAGATCCACTGAAAATCATCACGCAAAACTGCAGGAGATTGAATCTCCCAGAACGCAGAACTAATCTTTTGAGGGAACTCCAGAGAGAGAGGGTTGCAATAGCTCTTCTCCAAGAAACTCACTTTCGAGAAGGAGCGGCCCCGACACTCAAGAACAAACACTACCCCACTAACTACTACGGCAACCACCCTACAGCGAAAAAGGCAGGGGTCGCGATCCTTATAGCAGCTCGTCTACAATTCCAGGAACAGGATCGCCTTATAGACCACAACGGCAGATACGCCTTCGTCAAGGGGAATATCGCAGGGCGATGTTACACGTTCGCGACAATATACGTCCCCAACAATCAATCTAGATTCCTCAAGAACACACTGAAGGCACTAACAGACTTCACGGAAGGAACCTTGATCGCGGGAGGAGACTTCAATGTCACACTAGATCCTAAAGTAGACTCCTCAACGGGACACAGCAGCATCCTACAGAGAGAAATAAGAACCATACACCATACTCTGAAAACGCTACGCCTGGTAGACTGCTGGCGAACACTAAATCCACTAGACAGAGAATACACTCACTATTCCACAATACACAAAAGATACTCCAGGATAGACTTCCTACTATTGCAACAAGAAGCTCTAATAAGACTTAGGAGAGCATCCATACACGCTGCAACGTGGTCGGATCACGGACAAGTGTCGATGGACCTCGAATCTCCACTCATAAGACCGACGAAAACGACGTGGAGACTCAACGACTCCCTCTTAACCGACCTCCCACTGAGGGCCCAAGTCACCGACACTCTACAGACATACTTTACCGAGAATGAGACGAGAGACGTATCTGATATGACAGTATGGGAGGCACACAAAAGTGTACTCCGGGGCAAGCTTATCCAAATCGCGTCACAACGGAAAAGAGAGGCGGGCGCACTTATGTCAAACATCCTTGACCGGATCCGCTCCCTGGAAACACAAAACAAACGTCAACAGGTGGAAGATACCTACAAAGAACTATTAGAGGAAAGAAGGAGACTACACGCACCGCTACTCAAGAGACACCTGAGACAACTCCGTAGATCTAAAGGCTTCTTCTACCTCCACGCAAACAAAGGAGGCAAACTCCTCGCACAAATGCTCAGAGGACAACAACACCCCTCTCAAGTCCACAAATTAAAAACACGCGACGGCACTACTACCCAACACCCGGAGAAAATCGCCAAGGAATTTCTCACCTACTACTCCTCGCTCTACAATACACATTCACAAAGCGACGAAGAAGGCAGACGAATCAAACGAGACCGCATGGAATGCTTCCTGAGAGAACATCTACACACGACGGTGACGGCCGAAGACGCAGAAACCATCGACCGACCGATCACCGAAGACGACATTAAGACAGCTATCAAAACGACGAAGACAGGACGCGCAACCGGACCCGACGGACTTACGCTGGACTACTACAAACGCTTCCAAGATATACTAGCCCCCAAACTCACAAAGGCGCTCAATGCCATCACTGAGGGACATACATTCCACGCCGAATCACTATCGGCCACAATTACAGTAATCCCAAAACCAGGAAAGGACCCGGAAACCTGCGGCAGCTACAGACCCATCTCCCTCTTAAACGTGGACACAAAACTCTTCACCAAAATAGTAGCCACCCGACTTAGCAACCTAATGCCAACACTCGTGCACCCTGATCAAACGGGGTTCATACCGGAACGGGAGGCTCGAGATAGCACTCTGAGAATTCTCGCTATACAACATCTAGCAAGACAACATGGAACGCCACTCCTGCTACTCTCCACGGACGCCGAAAAGGCGTTCGACCGAGTTGACTGGGCATTCTTGAAAACGACGATACGTCTACTGGGGTTTAACGACAACATACAGAAATGGATCGGAACGATATACAGCACCCCGATGGCAGCAGTGGATGTTAACGGAGCCCTGACGGAGTTCTTCCCGATTCGCAATGGTACGAGGCAGGGGTGCCCCTTGTCCCCGTTATTGTTCGCATTAACATTGGAACCCCTACTGGAAGCAATCCGACGAAATATTAACATCATGGGCTACACCTGTACAACCGCCACACACAAAGTAGCCGCATACGCGGATGACATGTTGTTCTTCATTACACGTCCAAGACTCACCCTACCATGCCTAATGGAAGAATTCGAAAAATACGGACACCTCTCGGGCCTCAAACTTAACTTAAGCAAATGCGAACTGCTCAACATCACGGACCCACTGGGGGAACACAGGGATATGGCCTCGACCTTCTCGTTCCGATGGTGCCATACCCAAATGAAATACCTGAGGATCTGGGTGATGGCTGACCCCAACGCCATCTACCAGAAAAACTTCCTCCCACTCCTCACACGCATTCAACAAGACCTCCGAACCTGGAGTTACCCACACATCTCCTGGTTCGGCCACATAGCGGTCATCAAAATGAATATACTACCCAGACTACTATATTTATTCCATACGATCCCAGTGGCATTACCGACGACCTTTTTCGCGACACTGAAAACCGCATTCCTGACCTACGTCTGGAGAGGATGCAGACCTCGACTAAGATATGAAATCTTATGCAAGACCAGGAGTCAGGGCGGATTGGCACTCCCAGACCTACGCAAATACCATTAAGCGACAGCCCTACAACGGATACTGGAATGGCACACTAACCCGAGATGCAAACAATGGGTGGCCTTGGACAAAGAATCATGCAGCCCATCCATTTTTGCATCCCTGTGGAATCAGAAGACGCCACGGCGTAATGTCCCCGGCGCAACCTCGCCGGCGAGTCGCACCCTCCACATATGGTCAACAATGAGGAACGCAACGATCATCTCCCCAACACCCAGCCCGATGACCACGCTAACACACAACCAAGCAGTGGGGGGAGGACTACCGATCAAGGCCTGGGACTTTCTGGAGGGAAGGGACTTCATACCACTCCACAAAACACTAACCGCCACTGGACTGACCCCCCTGGAACGCCTAATGGAAGGCCCGCCAGCTCCCATGCACAAATTCAGATACTCCCAGCTGACGCATTTCTACCACACCCTACCGAACAAACAAGAGGTACACAGAACCCTCACGTGGTTTGAGGACATCTGCGACAAACAAACACAGACTCAGAAACCAACGTCGACGCTCTACCAATACCTAATCACAGATGAGCAGCAAGCAACTCGACGGTATAAGGAAAAATGGGAAAGCATCACCGACAAAGTTTTCACCGACGCACAATGGGACAAAATTCTCATCCTTCATCACAAATCTACGATTGGCTCAAAATACCAAGAAATGAACTATAAGCTATTGACATTCTGGTACAGAACCCCAGACCTGCTCCACAGAATATTCCCCAACACTTCGGCGACCTGTTGGAGATGTGAAGCAGATATTGGAACACTAAAACATATCTGGTGGGACTGCCCCAACATTAAACCGTTTTGGAACCAGATTACGTCCCGCATCAAAGAGGTACTAGGGAACACAACACAATTGTCAATAGACAACACTCTCCTACATCATACTAAAGACCCGATCTCAAAATACAAACGATCCATCCTACGACACCTTCTCGACGCGGCCAAGGCTCTAATCCCTGCCCTATGGAAAACGACAAACGCCCCCACAATGGAACAATGGCTAAACAGGGTAGAAGAGATCAGATTCGCAGAAGAAATGCATGCGACTTTACGAGACACCCTCACGAAACACGTTGACAAGTGGCAACCTTGGATAATATACGTGGCGAGATGGGATGGGGAGGACGCGGCGGCTGGGGAAGGGAGTTAAGGGGGCCTCCACTCATCCCTCCCCCTAACAAGCCACACACACTACACGCAATACAACCACAACGCTCACAGGACCAACACACTGACAACACACAATCACCCCATGAACGCAACCAATGAGGGCACAGGACGTAGCAGCATACGATACTGGCAACAACCTACCAATCCCGAAAAACAACAACATACAGACCTCTCACTGAACCCAAGCCGACACCACCGACTCACGCACCAATACCCAAGATAGAGCTGAACAACAGGAGACCCCCGAGCGAACCTCACACACTATCACCCTAGAGACCGAAAATCCTGATCCCAGAGTCACGATACCACAAGGAACGAGGATAGCTCTTCCTCCCATGAAATCCACATTACACATACACACAACCCAACAGACTACCTAGCACATGACTAGGACACGGGACGCGAGGAAGGCGGGAGGGAAAACAACATAAATGGGATAGACTTGGGAATCAACCACACAACGAACATAGATGCCACTCATACCAGCCAAACAAGACCACAAAACACCCGTGCCGCTAGAACTCCCCTACATTCTACTTACTACGTACCCACAAATACATTACGCAGATAACAATTTATGACAGAATACAAATTTCAGACCCAACACCTTGTAACTCCTGGAAGCCACTGACATACACACTCACATAGACATAACACATGCAAAAGATTCTCCACATAATCAAAAAAAAAAATCAAAAAAAAAAAAAATCGACCCCGATCAGGACATACGAGTCCACTATGCCTCTACCATACCCTCTCATGAATGATCCACATACCACCGCACCAGGTTAAGATACAACATGTTAAGACACACGATGTCTCAATTATTTGAATGAACACACAAAACTCAACGTAAACCTGACCGAACGACGCTTCCTAAAATGGCAGTTAACGTTTCATACAGATGGGACCTAAGTGTCCAAACTGAAACTCGCTTAGAGATACATGACAAGTATATGCCATAGGACCTGCGAGTCCAACTAGTTTATGCTTCTTACGTTTAAATGTGACCTGCGTGTCACCAGTGTATACATACAAGAGCAGCATTTGTTCCAATGCAATAGTTCGCTTGCAAAACTAATGAGACCTGCGTGTCCATGCCGAAGTTTTCTCATGACATGTTCAAAACTGAAAAATTTAAAACACCCAATAAAAATATATTTACAAAAAAAAAAAACATATAGGGGAGACACAATAGGTTCGAATTACAGACCTCTCTCCTTGATCAATTCGGACTTAAAAATATTTGCTAATATTCTAGCCGCCAGGCTCACTCCACTTCTTCCACGTATGTTCCACCCTGACCAGGTAGGATTTATGCCAGGCCGACAATTGTACGAAAACCCACGTCAGGGAGCGGTGCTGGCGTGGCACATGGCAGAGACAGAAGGCCTTCTCTGGCACTAGCATTTGATGCTGAGAAGGCTTTCAACAGAGTCCAAAGGCCATATTTATTTAGCCTGCTTGAATCTCTGGGTTTCCCGGAGCCGTATGTTAAGGCGATACAGGCCTTGTATGCAGGAGCGCAAGCTCACACGATAATCACTGGATCGAGGAGGACGCCATTCACGCTGAGTAATGGGATCCAGCAGGGATGCCCACTATCCCCTCTTTTGTTTGCAATTTCCCTACAGCCACTGCTACAGGCTACACATATGGGGGGGTGACGATAGCGGGTCAACAATTTAAGGTGTCGGCTTACACAGACAACATACTCCTTACCCTTGCGGAGCCCCTCCAGACGCTGGAACACTTTATGGTGTTACTGGACCAGTACGGAGCCCTATCGGGATACAGAGTTAACTTGACTAAATCAATGGCGATGCCCTTCCACCTCTCGGCCCCGGACATGGCACTGATACATACTAGATATAAATTAGGAATCATGCAATCGGCAGTTCCCTATCTAGGTATACAATTCACGGCAGACTGCACCCAACTATTTCAACACAACTAACCTCAGCTGCTCCGCACCTTGACTAAGGATCTGGAGCAATGGACGGACAAACCAATCTCATGGATCTGTAGTTTACACTACCTGAACATGAACATTCTTCCCAGAATACTCTATTTCAGACATTACCAATCCGAATCATACAGGGAGACTTTGCAAACTTGCAACAAGCCATAGATGCTTTCATTTGGCAGAGGAGACGTTCCAGAATAGCAAGAAACGTACTTTACCGACCTAAGAATAGGGGAGGACTTTGGCTACCAGGCCTGTACTTTTATTACCCAGCGGCACAACTAGCTCAAACAGTCCATTGGCACTCCCCCCCAGACCACAGATGCTGGGTACAGAAAAAAATCTTAACTCATGGGAGCTGACCTTCCTCAGTTTCTAATTTGGCTCCCCAAGGAATGCAGAGCCTTCATGCGGACTACATGTTCGGCAATTCTTAACTCTATCAGACTATTGGACGTGACGGCAGCTAAATACTCCCTTAGCAGATTTTCCTCACCCATGACGTCGATACTTCACAACAGGGCTTTCCCACCTGGAATGAGAGCCATAGACTATAAGGGTCTAGAAAACACAGGGCTTCAGAGATATGCCCACCTTTATGTTGATAACGAGATAGTCACCTATGAAAGATTGAAGGAACTGGCCCCTCTCCCTACGGGAGATTACTTCAAATTAGAGATTTTGCAAAGAGGCAGATGTAAAAGCACTCCATTAACCTTTTCTGAACGGATGTGCTTCGTAGAAAAGCACCTAGCAGGGTTAATTTCACTCCTATACGGCCACATTGGCTCTGAGGTCAACGAATGGGGGAAACTTAGATACACAGATCAACATGGGCGAAAAGCTAGAAGGCATAGACTGGCAGGACATATGGGAGACATGTGCTAAGTCCTCCATATGTGTAACCTTCCAGGAACAGTCCTTAAAGGACCACTATAGTGCCAGGAAAACAAACTAGTTTTCCTGGCTCTATAGGATCTTTGGGTCCCCCCAACCCTCTGGGTCCCATTCCCATCGGGCTGAAGGGAGAGGAAGGGGTTAAATGCTTACCTTTCTCCGCCAAATGCACATGCGCGGCAAAAGATGCGCGCGCATTCAATCAGTGCATAGGAAAGCATTTCTCAATGGTTTTCCTATGGATGGCAGCATTTTCTTACTGTGAAAATCACAGTGAGAAGCGTGGAAGCGCCTCTAGCAGCTGTCAGCAAGACAGCCACTAGAGGCTGGATTAACCCTATTGTAAACATAGCAGTTTCCCTGAAATGTTTACAGCTGCAGAGTTAACACTAGATGGACCTGGCACCCAGACCACTTCATTGAGATAAAGTGGTCTGGGTTCCTATAGTGGTCCTTTAAGGACCTTATTTAGATGATACACTACCCCGATCAAACAAAAACACATGAGATTAAGCCCCACGGACACGTGCTGACGTATGTGTGGAGACAAGGGAAGCCATACCCACATGTGGTGGACCTGCCCAAAGGTGAGGGACTTCTGGGGGGAAAGTGGTCGACTTCTGCTCTAGGGTATTGCAGAGACGTCTTAATTTAGATCCCTGGGTGTGTCTCCTCTCTAAGCCTACAGAGAGCCTTACCAACCCAGAACAGAAACTTTTAAACATAATCTACTTGGCGGCTCATAGAGCACTAGCACAGAAGTGGATTAATGCTGAAGTGCCCCCACTTGATCTAGTAATTGACAAAATTAGGGACAATCACCTAATGGACAAACTGATGGCCCAAGTGAGAAACTCCCTGAAAACCTTCCACAAACTATGGGACCAATGGGAAAATTTAGTGGACTGACTAAGACATACTTAACAACTTGCGCTAAGAATGGGCACAGCACGTAGATGCCGTAGCAGCACATTTTCCGGTGCCACGGGTTTAGTTCTTTTTTTTTTTTGGTTTACTTTACCAGTCGCCTTAATTTTAATTTTAATTTTTTATTTGTGCAATCCACTCAGCTAAACACATGGGTACAGATATAGTGCCTCCTTATTTCAGCACAGTCTTTGTCAGAAAAACTGAAGTACTTCAATGATGGTGTTAATGCACATAAAACTGTCAATGGAAGGGTACGGAGAACACTGGGTATTGTACATAACATACAATACGGAAAAGTGGATTGTAAATATTAAATTTTTAATTGAAACAGGCAATATGTATCTTAACTAATGATTGCATATGAAAGATTATCACTTGCCAATAAAGAAGTAAAAAATAAAGGCTGCAGCAAAAATACTGCTATAGCGCAGACTGCAGTACTCACAGGTTATCATTATACACCACGAAGAAGCAAATATACAAGTAAAAATAAAAGCAAAATATCTCATTATGATGCTGGATAGACAAGGTGGGCAACAGTTCTGATGGATTCAGAAACTAAAACTGAGAGATTAACCCCACAGCCTCATTGCATCATAATTACTACAACTAAATTTGTTAAGGTCCTCAGATAGTCCCTTTAATAGAAGCTTTTGAGGGAAATTGGATTGGGATCCACATTAAATAAAAGTATATGTTTGTTTGTCTGTTCTAACATTTGTATTTATGTTTCTAACTATGTTGTGTTTGCATTTGGACTTCTCTTAGTGGTTGTGTGTGCAGAACACTGTAACACCCACAAAAAGACAGTTACAAAGCTATAATGCATGATCGACTTTTTACAAAACAATGTCATCTGGTAATAAGACAAGGTTAAAAGAACACTAAGCACCATAACTACTACAGAGCACATTTTAGAATGGTTGGACTTTTTACATGGGCTCTGCTGGGCACAGCTCCAAATACTCTCTTCATTTCACTGAGCTAAGCCTGATCAGCTGGTGCTCTCATCAAATGATCTGGCCCTCCATGACAGAGCCTACCTCAGGAGAGCTATCGGAAAATCCTTGCAGGTGTTTCTGGCTCTCACTTCAAACTGTGAGGAAGCAGGGAATGATGCCAACCAGATCCGGGGACAGAAATCAAACCATTCTAATATGGTTTGACTACTTACATTGGCGACCGGATGCACTAGGGCACTCCTGTGCCTTATATCCACTGCAGCTATAACAGTATTCGAAAATACAAACCTGCTCGTCTACAACATTTAGCAACTTATAGCGCCATCTAGTGATTTATTACAAACTAATAAACTGATGGATTTTATTTCTTTAATTCAGAAGAAATTATCTATAGTTAAAGAGGAAAATTATTAAATTAAACCAGACTGACTGCCAATCACATTGGACTGCCCCACTCAGGGCAAACCATGCAGAGAGCTCTGTTGCAGTGTTCTTTGCATGGTCCTCATGCCCTTAGC